AACTTTTTGGAATACCCTGTATGATTTTTTAAAAAATTTCAAAATATGTAAAAACACAAATAAATTATGCTTGTCTAAGCGTTTTCCCGAAAGACTAACCGTTTTTTAAATAACAAATATTGTAATATTTGAGGGGCGTTTTCGCCCACTTGGAATTTGAGATTCAAGAAACCCCTCCTTATCGAACCTCTGTACCCCACAGTCAATCCGTTTGCCAAAAATCTGCTTTAAACGTCAAGCAGTTTAAGCAGAATCGTGATTACTCAATGGTCATATTTTATGAAACACCCTGTATAAATTTATAAAAAATTTTAAAATATGTAAAACAACAAAATAAAATATACGTGTTTCAGAGTTTTTCCGAAAAACTCACCAGTTTTTAAATAAAAAATATTTTAATATTTGAGGGATAGTTTCACCCCCTCAGAATTCGAGTTTCGAAAAATCCCTTCTTATCGAACCTCTACACCCTAAAGTTAATCTGTTTTCCAGAAATCAGCTTTTTTACGTCAAGCGCTTTAAGCAGGATCGTGATTAATCAATGACCAGATTTTTCGAAACACCCTGTATACATTTAAAAAAAAAACTTAAAGTATGTAAAAAATAAAATAAAATATACGTGTTTAAGCGTTTTTTCGGAAACTTGACCGTTTTTTAAATAAAAATTATTGTAATAGTTGAGGGGTGGTTTCACCCTCTTGGAACTGGAATTTCGAAAAATCCCCTTTTATCGAACCTCTACACCCTAGAATCAACCTGTATGCCAAAATTGAGCTTCTTACGTTGAGTGGTTTGAGCGGGATCGTGATTAATCAGTATGTCAGTCACTTAAGAATTTTATATATTAGTGTAGATATGTGAATTGTATTGCAAAGATTGATATTGTTATCGGTTATTTACAATTCCCGCAACCTTAATTGAAAAATCAAATGTATTATAAAGAAGAAATAGTCAGGATACGTTATTTTATTCTACAGGGTGGTCTCTATTCCGGTAATTTCGGCAGCATATTCTGCAGATAAAAATAAGCAAAAAAGTTCGTATAAATGTATGTTCTAAAATGCTTAGTTTCGGAGATACCGGGTGTATGAGTTTCATTTTTATTTCGATATTTTCCAAATAATTTATGAAGTAACGTCAATATTTGGATAAAAATTGATGTCTGGGAGTTTTTTGATACAAGAAATTTTATTTTGATGTCAATATGACTCCTACTTGTAGCGGGCGCCATCTACATATTTTTTAACTGGTTGGAAGAGTAATAACTTTTTGTTCGTACCTGTATAAAACAACTGAGTGAAAAAATATACATGTACGACGCCTTTTACGTAAAAAAGGTCTCTTGGTAAAAATCGCTACGAGTAGTGGTTCTCGAGATATTTGGAATCGAAATTAACAATACATCATTGACATAAATTAAACATGTTGCTGTTCTATCTAGAAACTGTTCTATCGTCATTTTTTCGCAAAAAATATGATTAATTTAAAAAAATAAAAATTTTCCAAATCAATAATTTCAGTCAAATAACTGTCTACTCAACATGATTTATTTTTTGTCAATAATAACATGTATTGACTATACTCTGTTTTTTTTCTCAGGTAAGATTTCGACAGACGATGACAGAAGAAAAGCAGATGACGTCCCATACCAATCTATTTATTTTACTAAAAAAAGTTTCTAATAATTTTTAAGTTAACTATGGATGCGTTTAAATATAAATCCGTCATACGTCGTGTCTTGTTGTTTTAACCAGTTTTATTGGTTTATTTAAAAAATGACAGAACGTATTTCAATTTTATTGGTTTGACGGAACGATGAACGACAAACGGACGCCGATGCGTATGAACTCGCCTTTAGATTTTTGTCATTTTTGACGCTTGTCAAAGTCTTGCCAAATTATAGGTTATAATTTTGTGTCAACTTTTGTTAAATACCCTGCGTTTTGGAAGGTGATGCATTTTGATTCGTATTATTACGTGTGCTTTGTGTCTTTTGAAGTCAAGTGGAGGATAAATCGAGTGAAAATTAACTGTAGACCCAGAGCACAGTTTATGGTTAATATTCGCTGCCCAGGCAGAAAGTCTTGTCTTATACACCAATGAAGTTGCTATCGATAAAGTTTGTATACCATTTCGTCGTAGACAAGTGCATCTCGTATATGGTAGAAGGATCAAACAAAACACATACTAAAAACTGGAGTAGCTGTAAAATATCGACATCACACGATAGGTAAATAATGGATTTTAGTACTGCAGAAAAATAATGTCAAAAGGTACTAGTTTAAAAAAATTAAGATTAAAGTTAATTAATCAACCTTTAAGGTATAAAGTTTGGTAGGTGTTATTATTAATAAAATAGTTTGTTTTACCTATGTTGTTTTATTTATTCCTGTGGAATATTACAAATTTGTATTTGTACATAAGTTATATTGATAAATATAATCATAAATGCGGGTAGTTTCATAAAGCTTGAAAGTAAATAATGGTTCTTTTTTATGTTTTTTGGTATGTAGTGTCTTGTTCTTTTTTGTTTTGTATTAACACATACCGTTTTTATTAAATAAAATAACTCGATTACATTTTTTCAGTTTTATACAGTTTTTTTCACAATATTTTGAAGTAATCACTTGTCATCTTGTCAATCAAACTTTAAATATTTCCTGCTATGCGTTCCAGTTGTACCAACTTATTTCTTTGTAAAATAAAATAAACTACTTTGAAATTAAAATGACAGACACATCTATCACTGTCAAGGATCTTGTCGTTGGACAGACTATATTTCCATTCTAAATATCTTGAAGACATCTTTCACCTAAAAACAACTTTTACCTAAAAAGTGGCGGAAATGTATATTTTTTCACTCGGTAGTTTTATACAGGTACGGATGAAAAGTTATTACTCTTCAAACCAGTTGAAACACATGTAGGTGGCGCCCCCTACAAATAGGAGTCATATTAACATCAAAATAAAATTTCTCATTTCAAAAAACTCCCAGAGGTCAGTTTTCACCCAAATATTGACGTTACTTCAGAAATTATTTTAAAAAAATCGAAATGAAAATGAAATTTCTACACCCCGTGTCTCCGAAATTAATCATTTTAGGACATACATTTATATGAACTTTTTTGCTTATTTTTATCGGCAGAATATGCTGCCGAAACTTCCGGAACACAGTTTGGACCACCCTGTATAAATTTCTCCTATCAAAGTTCATGTTGTGCATGATAAAAAAAAGAAGCAAATTACAGTAATAAGGAAGAGTATTCAAGAATATGGTTATAGATTTTTTTGTAGAGTTTGAGTAATATCATTCTCTTATGTTTCTTAATAATTTATAGACAAAAATTGACTTACCATTATCCACGACACTGTTCAGTAATTTTGAAGGTTTGGGTATGGCTAAAAATAGACAGAAAATGATTATTATACTTCGCTAATATATCTTAAAAATATTTCTTTTTAAAAATTATTATTAATAATGTTAATACACTCGAGCTTAAGGAAAAACTGAATAAAAAATTTGAACTTTCATGCATTTTAATTCATTATACTGGGCGCGTCTCAAAAGTGGCTCACCACTTTAACTTTTATTATTTTTTCAGATAAAAAAACGAAATTTGGTATGATATTATATGACATAAATTAGGATTGATTGACATATTCAATTGTTTCTAGTCACTCCCTGTTTCACCGGAAATGACTACAACTTTTGGTTTTTAAATAGCACCCTCGGTATATTCTTACTTTATTCGATAGAAAATGACACTCTGAATAGAATGACATATCATACGTCAACTTTTGACATTTTCGTTAACATATTTGAAAAAAAAATATATTTTTTACGGATAATTTCATACCATACAATTGATATTAAGCTCTTGTGATATTATAAGTGATAATTTCATACCATACAATTGGTATTTGAAGTCAAATGTCGTTATGAAAAATGTCAAAAGTTGACGTATGAGTGTCATTTTCTATCGAATAAAGTAGAAATATACAAAGAGTGCCATTTAAAAATCAAAAGTTGCTGTTATTTCCGGTTCAGGAAGTGTTTTTCCAGTTCACAACAGGAAGTGACCAAAAATAATTGAATACGTTAATCAATCCTAATTTATGCCTTATACTAACATATCAAATTTCGGTTTTTTATCTGAAGAAATAAAAAAGTTATAGGGGTGAACCCCTTTTGAGACGCACCCGGCATATCAGTTACTCGATTTTCACATTTTTCGGTAACCTTATGTGGAACTGTAGATATTAATACCTAAAAATTAATCAATTATGTCTCAAATTAAAGGCCATTAGTGACATGGAATATGCAGCATCTATGAAAAGTGATTTATATTTAAAATATTTGATGCGTCAAGTTGCACAACCCGTCTTATTCCACAAACGTTGTTTCGAGATAATAAGCAAAAACTGTTTTAGCAAATGTTTGAAGCGTTAATTTACATTGAGTGGAATCATTGTTTTGTATCTCGTTTTTCTAGAAATTAAAATTAATACTTAATTTTTAAACAAAAAAATAATTCGGATAAGGCGGATCATACCTAGGGTATTTGCATTCTCACTTGATTTATTAAAATTACTTTATTTATTAAAATTAAGTAAGGATTTGAAAAGACGTCAGTAGTAATATCATACTTGCGTAAAAAGCTTATGAAAAAATGCGGGATTTGTCAAAATAATGACAGTAAAAAGCAAATATAAGTGGATAAGACGGATTTATCTGTAGTATCGTAATTTGTAGTGAATTTTATATAAAATAGACGACTTTTGTTTGGAATTGTGTTTATGTAGATCTCAGGGTCCCACTATTAATATATGTCATGAGGCCATTTTTTTAAATGGATAAGGCGGGTTTTGCAACTTGACTCCTGATTTATAATAGCAAATTTAATACAGCTACACAAACAAGTATAACATTTTTATCAAGCACAAGACGAAATCTCGGGATATTAAGATTCCTGTCACACTCAGCTACGACACTTCCGGTGTCAAAGAAAAAGTGAATCGTCGATGCCCTTTGACCCTGGAAGATCCCGAAATCCCGCTTTAGTATACTTACAGAACAGCTGGATCGTGCCGTCCGTCTCGCCCAGAGCGTTTTTCGCGATGCATTTGTATTTGCCGTAGTCCGATTGCATCACGTGCTCGATCTTCAGTTTCATGTAGATTTTGTAGTTGTGCGATTTCTGGGTTGGATCGTACCTTCCATCTGTAATGGTAAAAAGACAAAAATCATAAAGAAAATATGGATTTTTTCATCCTTTGAACAGAAATCTACAAAGAAAATATGATAATGTCCCAATTATCGTCACATTAAGGGAATATTTCAGTTCAGTTAGCTATAAAATCCGAATTACTAATATAAGGCTTAGAAGAAAATTAAATATTACACTACACAGTGGTTCCCCTTAATTAGCTGCGCGGTCATAACTGTTAGATATCTAGATATAGCTTGACTGCACCTTTTTTAATAGAAATTGATAACAAATGCTAAATAAATGTATATAAAAAAACTTAAAGTAATATGTATTAAAAAAATTGGGTTCAGTATGATTTGCATTTTAAGTTCTAACTATTCGGAAAGGTATACAGACTATATTTGCACATATGTACATGTTTTTTCATATTGAAAAGGTCAAATTTATTTTAAATGTTGAGAAAATAAAAGAGACAGTTGTTTCATTTTATAAATACAATTTTATTGTCAATTGATATACAGTGTGTCCACGAAATAAGTTGACACGAAGAGGAAAAAATAAGTTACTTTTATTTTAAGACAAAGAGTCAATCTTTAACCACCCGGTATAAGATCCGGCGGCAGTTCGCGGCAGCCAGTGGCAATTAATTTATATGCAATATACTTTAAGCAACAAGTATTAGCATGCCGTTTAAGAAGATTTGAAAGGGAAAGTAGTTAAAGGTCTTAAAGAGTAACAAGCAAAAATGTAAAAATACTATTTTTGTTGCCACAAACTAATATTACTTAGGTTTCATTAAGTGCAAAAAATAAAAAACAGTTCTTTTTACCTTCTTTTCGAACGTCCATTACAGAAAGGGCAACAGCTTTTATCAATTTTATTAAAAATAAGTAATTAATTGGCGTTATCTGAAAACTGTTTATGTCAGCTTGATACCAGTAGCAAAAAGGTGACATTTCTAATAAAAAAGGCTCTACACTAGGCTTATTTGATTTCGTTATTTATTATGTATCGTTTACAGGGGAATATAAAAAAAATATTATTAACAGTTTCATGCAAACATTTTTAAATTAATATTTCTAAGTAATTACCTATCTGGGAACCACTGTGCACTAGAGGAAATTTAGTTTCAAATTTAAATATAACTTTAATAACTTGACTGATATCTTCGATTATTTTCAAGGAAAGTTAAAAAATCTACAATTCCTCTTAAGAGTCCATTTCACTAGTCCGAAAAAGTAGCAAAATAAGCGTTTGGCATTTAACGTATTATGTAAAACTGGATAAGTATTTTTACACAAATAAAGAAGGAAATTAAAGATAGTGGATTATACTATATCCATATTGTAGCACATTTTTAGACAACTTCTTTATTTTTAAGATTTTGATGGTGAAACATCAATAAAATATTCCTTCTGTTTGGATTAAAATTTCTCGAAAATAAAGACATAATTTAAAATTTCGTTACAATACGGAAATAGACTGAAGTTTTTGTGATTACAGTGATATAATAATTGATATGGTTTTGTAACAAATTGCTCGCTATTTTATGGCAATTGTTGAAGGTCTGCAAATCTTAATCAAGCCTTAATCAGAGCACGTGTGTTTGGAATTTTGGGTGTGACTTAACATAACAGGATCGGGCTAAGCCTTAGGGCACAAACATAGTGAGGCATCTCGATGCGATGCTCGCCAAGATGCTGGCCGTGCTGCTCGCCAGGATGCTAGCCGCGATGCATCCTACGCGCACTGTTTTAAAACGGCGAGTAAGTGCGCGTAGGATGCATCGCGACTATCGTACAAACATGGCATAGTGCGAGGCATTTTATCTCGACGCAATGCTCGCCATTCACCTCGCCATCCGGCGATGCTGAATCAAACATGTACAAATTTATGCGTCAAAACATACCGGAGCCTCGCACCTCGCCACGCACCTATATGTTCAGCGCGATGCTTCCTAGGAAACAAAATTTTTGTTTTTTGCGAGAAGCGGACGCGGATGCTTGAAACTTTACATTTGGTTAGTCGGTTTAGGATCACAATTGTGAGCATATGTTGAACTAGAGTTGGGTGGAATAAAATGTTCACAATACTAATATTTAATTTATCACCAACAATGTAATAACCTTGATTCTACAGGGTCCGGCAATAGTGTGTCGGGCATCCGCAGCTCCTATAATAAAAAAAACTTATGAATTTTGTAGTCCAGACATAAAGTATGTATTAGGATGTATTTGAGGAAAATATTTGAACTTCTAAAGGGTGGCTGAAAAAAGTGTGAGTGGATCGCGAATATCTTTTTAAATGAAACACCTATATTCAGAGTGGCGCAACTCATTCGCCTCGGTTAATTATACAAAAACGGAAATAGAAACAAAATATTTTATGGGCATATGTGGGAACACCATGTGCATAATTTAAAATTATTTTGAAATGTACAGGGTATGTCAGAACTAACAGATTTACACCAAAGCTATATTTTTTCTTATGAAACACCCGGTATTTTATTTCATATTTGGATCCTTGGACACAAAATAAGGCATTTATTATATACTAATACGTTTACAAGCTTTGGTTTTTGAGATATTTAAAGATATTTAAATATGCATGCTACAATGAAATAAATTATCAACACCCTGTACACTACTTTTTAGAACTAATTATTGTGCTGAGTTTAAAGATAGAGAAATAAACTTTACTGAAAAATTGTATTGCTCCCTTAAATTTATACAGGGGCACCAAATATTCATGATTTATTTTAAATATTTATTTTACATAAAAACCTTGTTATTTCAAATACGACAATCTCTATTTTTTAAAACAAATCGAAACAGATTCAAATGCTCTTTCAAACTATATTAGGGTATCCTATACCTATCTAGCTCAGATTTTGAATAAAGAGCAATTTTCCAATAAAATGGCAACAAAGAGGGCTGATGTCGTCACGTCAAGTTTCTAGTGACAATAGCTATTTTCAAAATCGAAATTAGTTTATGAACTTTATTTATTTATAGCAAGTACTTTAATCGCTAGTTGATTAAAAAAAGTGTACCATTAATATTGCAAATTATATTTTATCCTCTCATAGTATATGTCTTTTTAATTTTTTGATGAGGTAACGAGCACTTTGTTTACTCACTCCATTTTTGCTTTTGATCAAATCGGTTGTTTCAGGAGAGTTGAATATCCGGGAAAGTTGAGTTATTGAATGTAATTGCACCCAACAGCGCCCTAATTACGCTCTCCTTTACGCGTTAACATTTTTTCGGCAATTTTATTAACATTTGAAATTGTCACAACACAGCACGACGCCGACGCGCGACGTCTAGTTCGAATTCTTTTTCATTTATTTTTTATTATCCGAAACAGCGTTACATCACACAAACCACGTACCTGAGTGTTTTATCTCCTTTTTGTCTCATAACTGCACTAGCAAAAAACTAAAATACTTAAATATTATAACAAAACCACGATTTCAATATTATTCTATGCGATCAACATGACGGCGACGTGAAATAGATAATTTCTGATGTTTGCCATTGAATACATAAACATATAATACATAATACATAATATATAAACTGGTGCTTAATACGGCGATGATAAATGCTTCAGTATGCCTACGCGCACCTATTGGCCGTTTTAAAACAGTGCGCGTAGGATGCATCGGCTACCATCCTGGCGAGCAGAGCTACCAGCATCTTGGCGAGCATCGCATCGAGATGCCTCACTATGTTTGTGCCCTTAGGCAGATTTCTGAAATATAACATATATTTCCTTCGGCCACACACCCGCTTTACCCGACCCCTGAGTGCAACCCGAAAGTACAGCGTAATACACTCGAAGACTTGAAGAAAGAAAAAAAAATAGTTAAATTACTTTCGAAAAAAATACAGATAAAAATAGATATTCGTGAAAAAAAAAAGAAGCTAGTATATAACCCCAATTTTACATAACGATGATCTTCTTTTTTATACGCGTGAAACAAGCTACTTGTACCACGTCGCTCCGTCTTCTAACAAATGGAGCAAAGCTTTCCCGTCCTTATATTTCACGAGTTGAACACGAAATTGGTGCTTAACCTGTTAAAAAAATATTTTATAACCTTTTATTCTCTTCAGGGTTTCGGGCGCATTTGTCTGCTCACACAGAGAGACAAAAAACACGCAAGACATGTGAGTTTCTGGGCTATTATTGTCGGTATTTTATTTCAAATAACAATAAACGAACATCTTACCCAAAGGATAAACTAAAAAGGATTCTTTGAGAATATATTAGTAGATTTTTTCTAATTGCTAAAGGCGTCCAGTTGGCTTTGAAATGAGGATCGATGACATTCTCCATATAATTTTACATGTAAAATGAGAGTACAGGTATCCCTGACCCGGTTTTTTTTCCGACCATATTGTAGTAAAAATAAAAATTGGCTTAAATGAATTGTTGTGATACTTTAAGCTTATTTTTTTACTAGCAGACCTTGCACTCGAACATTGTTCTTTTTATAACCTCTGTTAATACGTAGTGTACAAGATAGCTTAATAGCCGTCGCAAAAAAAACTCACTGCGACCTTATTAGAATATTTTGAACGGGAAAGCTTGTAGTAATGGCCCTTTATGCCCCTTAAGGCTTCCCTTCCCTAGACAAACTATAACACCTGCGGGGAATCCGAAGAGACGAGGTAGCTTTTAAACTAACAGAAGGCAGTGCATCGACTACTTACACTTGCGAATCTCTCGATAAATCCATGGTCAACGGCGCGCAAAATCCCAACGGTGGACCATATTTTATGGAAAAATTATTTTGCTCCTAGATATTATTCAATATGTGTTAAAATTACAAAATCAATACAAAATATAAAAAAATTAATGATTATTAGTCCATAGCAAATGGTTTATACAGGGTGTTACAATATTAACCCATATAAAAAAGTCACACGTTAACTTAAGTCACACCTTAACTACTTTCCAAAAAATGTATGAGCTTAGAAGCATCATAATATGTAA